GCTTTACACTTGTTACATACAACTGTCGCAATATTATGCCAAGTCCTACCTAATTGCATTTGAATGATTATAAATAAGTTTTAATATTTTGTCAGACCACACAATTTCGTTTCCAATGGAATTTAATCAGAGCTGTTTCATCCTCGGGTCTCCTTTCATACTATTTGTCGTTTTGCATACTATGGGCTATAATTATTTCTGATTTCTCACGAATTTCTCGTTACTGGAGTCGATAGATCTGCAATAATTAATTGCGATTGGTATTTAAAGATTTCTTTGGAATTTAATTGTAATTACGCAATATCGAGAGGAGTTTCGGAGGCCGGAGAATTTCCGATTATGAAATTTTAGAATAATTCGTCGGATAATGTAGTACTGTGTGTGTGCGTGTGCGTGTGCGTGTGCGCGCGTGTGTGTATGTGTGTGTGTGTGTGTGTGTGTGCAACTATGCCTTAATAATTTCCACTAATGATATGCCAATGAATTTCCGCAAAAAAAAACGTACTCGGATAAAAGAACTTATTTTGTTTTATCGCTTTTGTTCAATAAATTCAACAAATATTTGACTTTGTCAATTAAATATTTATATATTTTATATTTTTATTTTTTATAGCACCTGATAATACTTATCCAATCAACATCTATGATAATTTTCATGTTAGGATACATCTAGCCGTTTATGATAAAATTAATTGCCGAATGTCTATATTTTTATTATAAGAGAAATTTCTCAAAGTTTTGCCAGATTATTCTTGTAATTATTTGATATCATGTACTTGTAAGAAAATCATTGCCTACCGCTTATAACAATATATAAACATTCATCGAACAATAGATGAGAAAATTAGACGGACACGTAATCACGACTAATTTCGTGTATTAATAGACATTATATTTATAATGTAAATAAATATATATTCAAGACGAATTGTCATATACAAATAATTTGTAAGCTATTGTATAGCTATTTAGTATACTATAACGTACACTATAACAAATTTTAAAATAAATTAATGCCAAAATTTAAAATATTATTCTAACGAAGAGCTATGTTCAGAAACAAATTTTTGTTAAATACAAAGAAATTTTTTTATAAATAAATTTTTTTTAAATCTATGTTAATATATTGTTCCCGCGCTAATTATATTTTACAGTCATATATACAAATTAACAAATATTGCGATATAAATTATCTATATAATAAGCAAAATAAATATAATTGTTTTGTTTATTATCTAAAATGCTCGAGTCTTTTTATTAGTATGGAAGGCTATTTACAATGGAAAGATCGTAGTTTATGATCGGCAACTATAAACATACTTGGTTGAATATCCTTTATTAACTATATTAACAACTGCATAAGCCCAGAATACTGTTGTATACAGCAGTGTATTATCGCAATGCTTGTTACCGTACTCGACTATGAATCGAGTTTTACTATAGCTTCTTGCGTCAGATGTGAATATTATAATAGTTGATAAATATTCTACTATCGGCATGTCAATAGTTGTATCAACAGGTAACGATACTGCAAGAATAGAATAGTAATTGTCAATTGTTAAGCTTGAATATAAAAAAAAAAAGAAATCACGCGTTGTTTAGCTTTTAATAATTAAAACAAATCATGAAAATACATATTATTAAGTGATCGATTTTAGAAAATAAAATTTATATTTAATCAGCATATAAATATAAAAATTACCGTAATATTAATTGAAAAGACTTATTTATTAATTTCCAGAACGACAATCCGTTCGACTAGAGGATACATATCCATACAAATTAAATATATGTATAATACTTTGTATACCTATTTTTATAATTATGCGTTAATATTCGTTTATATTTTATCTCACTCAAGCAAAATAGCTTATTTTCATTTTAACAAATATATTGTATTACATTATGTATTGTATTACATATGATCTCAATAAACATTAAGCGAGTAAAGCTTTATTATATTATTTAAAATAATTTTTTCAATTATTTTAAACTTACATGAAGAACTAATTTGTTTATTAAAAATCAATTTGTAATAACGTAATTTTTGTTATAACTTATAGATTGTTCTTAATTATAGGAATTTATTGAATCTTCAATTAGGTAATACGAAGAAAACTAACTGCTCCTCTATTACATACATATATAATCTCTCTGTCACTGTCTAACTCACTCACTCTCTCTCTCTCTCTCTCTCTCTCTCTCTCTCTCTCTCTCTAGTATCCAGACTCATATCTCTATTCATCTACGTAATTAATCCATGATTTGTATAAATGCTGGGAACTTATCACATTACAAATCTAATTTAGTAAATTTACAGATAAAATCAGATTTTAGAATTACTATCCTTATAAAAAGCATCGAGTTCTGTAATAGAATTTGAAATTATACTTAAAAATTATTAATTTTTTTTTTTGTTTACATATAATATAACAGTCATTTACTTATAGCATTGAATAGATGAAATTTATGTGACAGAAATAATTAATGTTAAGTACAATTTGAAACGATGTAAACATCTCTTTAAATACCATAATTTGCTCATACGTATAGAAAAACAATACAATATAAATACAATTTTAATTGAAGACATATTTTAAACACATGTAACGGATTGGTACATTAAAGTCCATTATTAACAATCGCATTTATTATACAATGTCTATTTAAAATATCAGGTAAATCTAAAACACGTTAACACTGTCGATTGAAAATGGAATTTTAATCTACCTCACTTTAATGTAAATTAAAGTGGACGAATATTTAATCCTTAAATTAACTTAAATTGAGGACGCACCAGCGCGTCGGTATATCCCGGCTCGTGTAGTACTATTTCAGCTCGGACATTCCACCATACACGTCCATCTCTTATTATTCGTATTAACGTCGGCATGTGCAACTACGGACAAGCCATTACATTCAACGACACCGACCCTCCACTCCCTCTGTCACTGTTACAAAAAAATGTCGAAACAGATTCAAGATATAAATATCATTTAAATATATAATCAGGATATATGTCGACGGGTTTCAATTACGTAAGGCTTCTATGTTCTTTCGTGAATATATTGAAAATGAAATTATTCATTTGAATGTCTACTAAAATTAAAATTCATTCTCATAATCATAATTTAAAGAGTGTTATCAAGCCTTATTGTAAGAAGAAATTTTTGTGTGTCTCGAGTGTTTGTGTGCGTGGGGGCAACTTCACATTATGCCTGCTCACCTGAATTGGCGTGGGTGCGTGGGTGGATAGGTAAGTTTCTAAATGCATGGGTACATACAGACGTGTACAACTTAAGTTAATTAAACAAAATTTATGGTTTTATTGGCGCCGTTATACCGAATAATATTCTTCAATTATTGCATAATAAGTCAAATATTAAATCGTAAATTAAAATTTTCAAGCTAAGTACTGTGAAACTAATTTATTTTATATTAAATTTATATTTCAGTTAATCTCTGAAGGATTCATTATAAAAATTTTTGTTTAATTTCTATTACATTTCATAATTGAAAAATTTGGGAAAATTAAATATACTTTTTTCTTTCATCGGTGTGTTCAATTATTTTCATTAATTATTTGAAAATAAATATATGTACTTTTAGCTACTTTTAAATAGTATTTTATTTAAAAAAAAAAAAAAATGAACTTCTAAAATAATGAAAAAGCACATAATATTTATGTATTGTCATGATTAGTCAATCCAATTTTATATGGATAACATAATTAAAATCGATACTTATGTATCGAATATGATTATCAATAACCTATAAATATATTTATATTTATTTATATTTTTATTATTAAAAAGTTTTCTTATATTATATTTATTCATCGTTTAATATTATATACATTAATATAGAAATTATGTTTTTTCTCGAATATTTTAACTAATTTTCGAAATATCTTGTAAATGCAAAACTAAACATAATGTAAAGATAATTTCAATTATTACTTTGGTGATTATCGAGTCTTTTTCGAATCATTATTCATACAAGGCAATCGTCAATGACAATGACTACTTCGTCAAATTTCAGGTAATATAGAAAATTCTTTAATAAAGCAATGTTTTTTTTTTTTTATCATTGTTTATAATCATAAAATTATTTATAATCATCTTTCATATTATTTTCAGTTTAAAAAAAATTTTACGTAAATTACGTAAAATAACGTACTCCTATATTTAATATTAATACTTCCAATGTAAAAATTTATTATTTTAATAAGTAATATTTAATATGTAATTATTAATATGTATTATAATAATTTAAATATTAATAATAACACTAAAATTCAATGCCCATAAGGCTGTTAATAATTTCTACTTGTTTATAAAAATATTTACAATTACTTTCGCTAAAACATATACTTCTGTCTCTAACCTCAAAATTCAAATATTCAAATTTTTCATTAAGTAAATGCTGACTTATTTATTATCGTGGTAAATATATAAAATTCATAAAATAAATAAACTATACTAATATTTATTTACCATTATTAATTACAGGCTATAAATTAAGTTGTGTGGAAATAAATAAATAAATAAATAAATAAATAAATAAGTTATCATTATTATAAAATTTATTAATTTTCTAGATTAAATTTTTTTAATTTCCTTATTCGTTGAATTTCATGTATGCACTATAATACTTTTGTAAGCGAATTCTTACCATATCAATAAATATATAAATAAATATTAATATATATTATATAATTGTTAGACATTTAATTTCATGTTATAATTGTACAATTTTTAATTTTTTCATTGTACAAAATATTGCTTGTTTATCATTAAAATTTTTTTTTTAACATATATTATAAAATTTATTTGCTATGCACCCACAAATTTTCTTGATAATGAAGTTGTTGAGTATAAAAATGACGTAATTATATAATAAAGTTAGTGGTGAAACTACAGAAGATATTTAATGATAATTATCATAAGAAAAGCTTGTAATAGTGAAACCTGAACTTTTAATGTTATAGGTGCAATTTTTGAACAAGGTACTGACGAAGTTCAAGCTGCTTTTGCCTATGCAGTAAACAATCACAATAACAATATTACCGGCCGGAAATTTGAGCTGAAAGGCTACGTCGATATCATAAATACTGCAGATGCATTTAAGCTGTCACGACTGAGTAAGTAATAATCATATAACTAATCATAGTGTAAATATTTTCTATATTTATTTAAGTTGTATAAATGTTTTGATATAATTCATAGTTCGCTTTGAAAAAAAATTGGCAAATTTAACTGTCCGCATCCGGATGATCATTTTATTTTAAAATATTACAAAGTTGGCTTTTTTCTTTCAATATATTATTCGTAATATATGCCACGTTAAAAAATTCTAATATACGTTATTATCATTATTTTAACGAAAGTAATAGTTTCTCTTAAAAATCATATCGTTTGAAATTTCAGAAAACATAAATTAATAATCTTAAATTAAATTTATAATATAATGAATTTGTGTAATCAGTAAATTATTGACTTGTGAAATCATTTAATTATGAAAGAATGTAATTATTAATTTAATAACTGAAGGCCAAACTAAAATTTAAAATAAAAAATATATAAAAATATTGTTATACACATTAATAATACAATGTAACGTATGTCTGTTGTTGGATATAAAGAATTTTTTTTTATAAATAGTTTATAAAAGTTATTATATGAAAAATAATAAATATATTTTCAATATTACGTTCAAAATTATTCGAAAATTAAGTAGTTTTATTTTTCATTGCTACATTAAATTAAATTTATTATTAATTATTATTTCTTAAACATTGTATTGAATGTAATCAATATCATATAAAATCTATTTATTTAAATTAAAAATTTAAAGTAAGGAACATGTATAAATTCATTTCTAACAGATTTTTAAAAACTACATTGAATTGTTCCTGTTGTTACAAATTAAGATAAATAAAATAACAAACAACACGTAAAAGATTTATAAAAAATAATGAACTTTGTTTACCTTAAGTATTCACAATGCCACTAATAAAATTCATATCATTTTTATATTTTATGTATATCGATAAAATGGCTGTTTCTTCATTAGAAATACATTATTTTCATTTTCAAACATTTTTTTCTGAATAAGCAATAAATCCAGGTAGTTTCTTTATATTGACAATGGTCTTGAAAAAATATCGGTGAATAATAATGTATAATAAGTTGTAAATTTAATAAATTCATAAAAATGCTGATATACTAATACATCTTTTATTAGAAATCAGTATTGATTATTAAAATTCTAAATATTAAAATTTTCATTTCGTTTCATTATAGTTAAGTATTTCAAAATGTCTTCACATATTCATCGGATAGTTGTAAAAAAGTATAGAAAACTTTATCGAATAATTTTTAAGCTTCTACTCACTTGTGAAATTTTAGAGTTTTACATTTCATAATGAATTACCATATAATTTTCATATTTTGAAATGCGATGCCAGAGATATTAAAAGATAAAGAATGCTACCCAAAAGCAAAAAGTTATATATGAATTAACGGAAACAAAGAAGTTCACATAGAGGAGAGAAACAGAGTGAATGTATATATGAATAGTAAGTTGGAAAAGGGACGAAAGAGAGAGAGAGAGGGAGAGAGAGAGAGAGAGAGAGAGAGAGAGAGAGAGAGAGAGAGAGAGAGAGAGGGAGGTGGGGAGAGAGAGAGAGATAGTTGTGTGTGTCTGTGTGTGCGCGTTTGCGTGAGTGTGAGAGTGGGAGAGAACGATCGCGCGCGACACTATTAATTTTCTACCCCGGTACTATAAGTAATTTCGTCACCGTGGGGTAATTGCATCCTCTCCGTGAAATGAGCGGTGGCAGCGAGGGAAGAATGGAAAGAAAAGGGAGGAGAAAACTCTCGAGATAGTAAAACGTGCATCACGAATTACGCGAAGTGCCGGCAACAGCAGTACCGGCATCGACCTTCCCGCCATTGCTGCACTAACGTCCTCCAAGTCTTTTGGTCAATCTCGTTTCGCTGCAGACAAGTCAATCTTCCCTCCGTTTCTCTTCTTTGAGCGGACTAACGGTGCCAGTGGTTTTATGTATAGGAAACACTTTCGAGTTGCACCTCTCTCTCTCTCTCTCTCTCTCTCTCTCTCTCCATCTCTCTCTCCATCTCTCTCTCTCTCTATCTCACTCTGTCTCTTTATCTCTATCTCTCCCTCTCCATCTCTCTATCTCACTATCTCTATCTCTATGGCGCTTGCCGGTCTATTTCCACCTCAGTTTTCCTCCTTCTCTTTTCACTCTCTCACACTAGAACAGCGCGATAACTACTTTACGAGTTCGCCTTCGATAACTTTTATACTTTCGATTCTGGCTTTCTATTCTAGATCGTTTTCTATCTCTCTTCCACTCTACCTCCTCATCCCTTCTTTCCCATCGTTTCTTTACTATAGCAGTCCGTAATTTCACTCTTTCTCTGTCCTTCTCTGACTCTATTCGTTCTCTTATTCGTCTCCTTTCTTCCCCTTGTTTCATTTTACCGCTTTTATCCGACGAATCCTCTACTAGAAAGGCATGTTTTTCCCTTGCCTAATTCTATTTTCCATGTAGTTTGTCGAAATGACAAATTTAATGATGCGTTGGCCAATTGTTTAGTTATTTTCGAGATTTAATCCTCGTCCCTAGCATTATCAAAATAAATATAGATATCGTTCAGAAATAAATAATGTACATGAAAATAAACAGCATTGGAATTTTCGACGCATTGCACAAAATACGCGTGTATCACAACATTTGCAACCCGTATGATTTGTTCTCACATACACAAGTTTGCATGTAGCATATAAAAGTTTTAAAAATGGACATCACAGAAATTTATGTCAAATTTTTTTTCTATTTTAATAATTGATTTTAATTTTAATTTTAATTAAAATTTGATTATCGCCAGTCGTACGTAAATTTGAATTTATTCATTTATAAATAACTGCTACTTTAAATTGAAATTGAATTTTGCATTTTCACACATCTGTACCAGCACATATTTAATTTATAAAGTTTTTCTTATACGCTCTTTCCAGTTCCTCCATGGTACTCTCTAAAAATTTTCAAACTACTAAACCTTCTGAGAGATTTCATCGTTTTTTCCATTATTCGTGGCCTCTGAACACTATACCCAACCTTCCCTTTTACTCTATTACCCATCCGTAGCAACCAAATACTCACCCTTCACTTACGGCACTTTGTTTCATACTCTCTTCTTCTAACATTTTCGCTCTACTTTCTCACCCACTCCCTCTCTCTCACCTCTCTACTGCACTTTTTTAGTTGGCTCGGTGTTTGTTTTTGTACATTTTTTTGGTAATCTTATCGGCCAGTTTTCCGTGTAGTTCATCCCTGTACAAACCCTATCTCTTACATTTATTTCTTCCTTTTCTTCATTTTGCATACTCTACTCTCTTTTGTAGAATATTCCTTTTCTACGCAATCTACTTTCAAATTCATTATTTTTATTTGAACTGCGTAGATTTTATTATGACTTAGTATTAAGTAGTCCAAATAATTAAATTGACCTTTCTCTTTTTTTTCACAATCTAATCAATAAAAGTTAATTCAAATAATAATTATTTATTAATAATTTATAACTTATAATTAGCAATTACAATATTATAATAATTACGATACAAGATCAAACATATATAACGATATTATAAATATTTTATTTAAATTCATTAAAAATATCGAGAAAAAAAACATACGTTTATCAACGATTTAGGTCTTCAGTTTTATATTCCTTTGTTATTATATTTATGTGTCTACTGGTCACTCGTCATGCTTAGAATTTTATTTTTGTTTGCCATCGCCATGTAAATGAAATACATTACTTATCTATTTTGAAAAGAAATTTATTTGTAGATAATATAAATATTTATATTAATATAAGTGGAAGTTTACTTATAATTATAAAATGTTCGATAGTATGTTCAAATAGATATTTTATTACATATTATAGATATTAATGAATCGCAATGCAATCGGAATTGGATAAAAAAGTATGAAACTTACGATGGGAAAACCTAACCACAATTGAAACTAACAAAACAAAAAAAATATAGCATTGAATAAATTATATTAAATATATGCATAAATACACACACACACACACACACACACACACACACACACACACATATATATATATATATAATTAATTTATTGTTATTATTTAAAAGAGCATTAATGTACATTAAAATTCCGTGTGTTGTTTACATTTTGATATTTTAAACTTCTTATTAGTCAATTTTTTGTTTAAATTTATAACGAATATTTACTATTATTTATACATTCTATATAGCTATCGTCTTTTGACAATATGCATAAACATGCTATTAGAAAGTTTAGAAGATTTTAATTTTAAAGTGATGTAAATTACTTAAAACAATAATATGCATTAATTGATTTAATATTTCTCGATTTATAAAGTCAAATGTAACTATATTTTTTAATTATGTAATGCGGATTAATGGATAATCATAAAATATTTAAATGTAATATAATTTTCACGTAATTTCGCATATAAATAGAAGAAATTTCTTTCAAATATACATTCGTATAGTCGTATAAATTCTTATTGTATATTATTCGTTAACGTTACTTTTTCCTAAACATCTTAATTTAACTGAATTGTAATGATTTATACATTTATAGAGTACGAAGCTCTTTAAGAAAATCAAATACTTTAATAAATTCTCTTCAAAGATATAGAATTTGCAAGTGATGATTATGAATATCTACTCGCTCCAACGAATATTCAAATAATTGCTTCAATTACACTAATCTTACTATTAGACTGCACAATTTTTTTTTTTTGTCAGCATCTCATTTCTTCGTTTACTTCTACACGCCACAGCTCGTCTCTTGCCAACTCTCTAATATCATGTCTTTTTATATTTTCCTCATTCTCTTGGCCCCTTTCATTCTCTCACACGTTCAACTCAATTCGATAGCCAAGAACCAAGACAATCTAGAGCTGGAGAGAGTGCGGCTCATGTTCAAGAAATTCGTTACGGATAAACTGATTTGCCTTGATGGCTTTATCCTTGCAGCAGTTCCTACCGAAGATTGCTTTCTCTTTCCCCGCGTCGACTCTTCCTTCTCACCCTAACCTAACCCTC